GGTGGACTCCGGCGATCCTTCCGCCTCAGCCTTCCAAGTAGCCGGAACTACAGGTGCGTGCTACCATGTCGGGCTAATTTTTTCTTTTATTGTAGAGATGAGGTCTCATCAAGTTGCCCGGGCTGGTCTCAAACCCATGGGCTCAGACAATTCACTCTCCTCGGCTTCCCAAAGTGCTGAGATTAAAGGTTGAGCCACTGAGCCCTGCTCAGTTTTGGATATTTAAAAAATATTTGTCATCACTTGAAAAAGATTAATGACTTCTTAGACCCTACTCCTATTTGTATCTCATATTCTAAAAGAAAGCAAGAATATGTCCAACAATTTATTTTAATTATATTTTTGACTCTCCATCCTGTATAGGGCACTTACAATAATTTAACAAAGGATGCCAAATAGCTTGACTATTTTTTCATAATTGATTCTTATTTCTCTAGGTCATACAGGCAAAACATGAAGCTAGAAGAGCCCTATATTTTATAGGAAATGATATTTGAAACTGCATTTATATGGTTATAGTCTTCAAATTCACAAAAATATAAACATGTAAATGTCCCTTTAAATACTACATGTTTTTATATTTTAAAATTTCAGTATTTTTAAAAAATCACTCATTTTTCAAAAACCAGATAAACCACATGAGTGCCACTAGAAGGTTCGGAAAGATTCCCATGTCAGGAGAGTGGGCAACCCATGCCAGGTGGTCTCCCATGAGCTCTCCATCATCGGGAAGAATGCATAGCACCGGGCCAAGGTGGGAGTCCATAAATCACATGCTCCTGTCACTGAAAACCAAACCACAGTGAAAAAACAGCTGTGCCTTGCCTGGAGTTAATGGGGAGCCTGATGCTGTTTCTGGAAGCAAACTGATACACAAAACAAACACCCTCACTCCCAAATAAATTCACATGCTTTCACATGAGTTAGTTCTGGCTTTGTCTCTGTGTGTCCTTGGACAAGTAACTTAATCTTTCTTAGCCTGTTTCCTCACCTCTAAAATGCTGTGTGGTATGGTAGTTGTGGAGATTAAGTGAGATGCTGTATATAAAGTGCCAGGAATCTAGCAAATAAGGTGTTGGAACACATATCCCACCTCCCCTTCCTGACCATGTTCCTCTCAAGATTTGCCCTAAGGGTCACAACATCTGTGAAGCCTTCCCTGACCCTGCCATGCTGGGTTAGTCTGTCCTCTGCACTCCTGCCTTTCCAGTGGGTATCTCTCTCATAGCACTTAAAACGTAAATGATTGCTGGCTACATTGCATGGTGCTTCCCCTGATTTTGTAGGTCTTGAGCCAAAAGTCCCAAGACCCTGGGACAATATCTTAATCATCTATTTGCCCCTAGCACCTGGCAACGTGTAAGGCAGTGTGCAATCATAACTGCAGAACACTTTTGACAACGCATGGCAGTATCTCTGGAAACCTAATTTTAAGTAATAATGCAAATAGGATTATATGAGGTTGTCATCTGGTCCCCCTTCTGACTGTGGGGCTCTTCTGAAAGCAAGAAGATGCCTTATAATCTAGTACTTACAGTAAGTACCTCTGAGAGATACCTATTTTAGTAACATCTTTTGCATTTACTGAGAAGTTATAAATAACAAAGCAATCTGACCTAGAAGATGCAGGTCCAGCCCGTGCCAAGGCAGTGGAGCCCTGCCAGGAGCAGGCTTCCTGACTGGCACTTGGAAATGGTAACCGGGAATGAAAGGAGTCTCTCATCACAGGAAGTGCTCAGGGAAGAGACAGAGCTGCCATTGTATCCAACTTTTTATCTAAAAAAAGTAACACAGACAAAAGGAGAGTGATGTGGGAAAACCCACCAAGAGCTCTCCGGCATTCTGGTATGACAACTGGTTTATGTCCTAAGCAGTGACTCCTAGTAACCACGGCAACCAGGGTGTAGACTACTTGTGCTGTGCTGAATTTTTGCACTGTCTGCTATTTTTTATTATGAACCATGGGCAGGGAATCTGGGGTCGAGTATATTTTATGTAACATCCATTTGCAAAATTGCCCAGGACTTTGTCAATTTTATAGAGACTCAAGAAGACCAGTTTTTGTATACTCTTGTTTAAAGCCAGTTATATGACACTTGGACATGGCCACTGAACTAGTGCCCCTACATCCGCCCTTGCGTCCGTCCCCATCCAACTCAACCTAACAGCTAGAGTGAGCCTTCCTAAAGGGTATTCAAACCTCGTCCTGCTGTACCTTTACTATATCAGGCCCTTTCCTGTCTCAGGGCCCTTGTACTTTGTTTCTGTGAAAGTGATTCTAAACTAGTCTTTATCCCATAAGTAATTTTATTTACTTTTTTTTTTCTGAGTTGGAGTTTCACTCTGTTGTCCAGGCTGGAGTGCAGTGGCACGCTCACGGTCACCCCAGTGGTGACCTGCTGGGCTCCAGTGATCCTTCCACCTCAGCCTTCCAAGTAGTTGGAACTACAGGCACGTGCTACTATGCCTGGCTAATTTTTTTTTTTTATTATTATATAGACAAGTTCTCACCAAGTTGCCCGGGCTGGTCTCGAACCTGCAGTCTCAAGCAATCCACTCACCTCAGCTTCCCAAAGTGCTGGGATTACAGGCTGTCACCGAGCCCGACCCCCACAAGTAATTTTAAAGAAAAACTAGGGAATAGGACACAAAATGTAAAAGAATTATCTATACTTAGACAATGCAATGCTGTCTCACTGACCAAAAGAAAAACACCCAGATTACAATTCTCCTATCTCCAGTTGCAAAACTCACTGACAAAGTTGAAACAAAATGAGGAAGACCACGTAGGTTTTTACATCTTGGACAGTAAGGGAATTTCCATTTCACGAACTTTCATTCGTCTGAAAATTTAGTTTGGAAAATTCCAATACAAATAAAAAGCATACACATAACACACACATACAACCCCCAAACCAAAACCCAAACAGTGACCTGATCTCATCAAACTTGGTTTTCATGTGCTATGCTCTTTCATAACCACTGAATAGTTTCTAAGATTATTCCAAGTCATATGAAACCACACTTTGTGAAACTTTAAGTTTCAGATAACTTTGCAAGTTATTCTTTAAAGGGCTAACATGTTGCATCACCACAGCAGCCCTGGGAAGCCACAGGGAGAAAAATATATCAAAATAGAATTCACACTTGATGGTATTAAGCCAATTTCTTAAAAATCATTTGAAAACACAAATGTATTGTAGTTTCTGTGCTTTTTGGGGAATTCTATCACGAGGTAAGTAAAGTGTACATACAGTTAAGCCTTCAGAGCTCCAATAAAGGAAGCTAGGAGAAAAGAACTAGTGAAAAAGAAAAATGTGTAGGTTTGTAGAGACTTCCAAAGTAAACTTTTAAAACTACAAAAACAATGAAGTCTATGACTTTTTAAAGGAAAAAATTAGCTGCAATCACACAGGTTTGTTGTATTTAAACAATTATATAAATTAAACACTTTGTAAACGCCTCAAATAAATACATTTCCTCTTCATTTATTAGATAAATGTTGGTAGATTCAAAGGCAATGGACTTCCTCTGACAGATTGTTTATTTTCACATAAAGCAGAATTTGAACTTCAGACCGAAGACCCATGTACTTGAAAATATGAAGACTCTAACATCAGAAACCAAATGTCATAGTTACAGAGTTTATATCCCCTGAAGAACTTGTGCAAAGAAAAAAAAATACACAACTCCCTCAACTAAGCTAAAGGGCTCTAAAAATTCTAACTGTGGGATGTGTTATAGGGTAACTTTAGTGGCTGAAAGGAGACCTGTAAAGTGAGAAAAGGAGAAAAAAATGAGAGTCTGGTTCCCCCAATTTTAGAGTCTAAAGACACTATTAACTTAGTCCCCCATCTCCAGGAATACATTTCTCAGAAGTCAATATCAAGTCAGTTTTGGACAGTGAATCTGGAGGAAGAAAATCCGGGGAAAGATCTGGGATAAGAGTCTGGGATAAAATCTGTTGGAGTTGGGCTATTTATGATTGTGTAGCTTGGGCATGTCACTGCCACCTCTGTAGACCTGTTTCCTCATCTGTGAAGTGTCTAGAATAACACTCTCATCTTAGAGCTGCAAAAAGGATCAAATGAGAGCCTATTTATGAACAGTTCTTAACTCTGACTGCATCTTAAAATAACTTGGGGAACAAAAAAAAAGAAACGTTAATGCCTGGTCCCATTCTATGGGTTGACTGAATTGTTCTAAGGTTCAGATCGAAGACACATGTCTTAAGGCCCTCAAGCACCAGTTTCCAAAGCTCTCCAGATGATTCTAATATGCAGCCACTGCTGAGAACCACAGGATTGTTGCTAACGTGGGTGCTTCTCAAACTGTCCTGGAGGATGGCCTGGAGAACCCGCCCAAATGGAGATTTGGATTTTGTAGTGTGGGGTCTGGGAGTCTACATTTCTCCGAGGCTTCTAGGTTATACACTAGTTACACAGATACTATAAACTTAGTATAGCAAGGTACGAAATGGCCACAAGGCACAATGCAAATAGTTACCCACTCTCTCTCCCCAAAATATAACTTATAGTGATGGTGGCGTGAGCTTTGGTTAATGATTTTCTTTCCTTCTTCTTCTGTTTTAAGAATAGTGAGCATAAGATTTTAAACAATTACAGGCACACCCACTTGCTATGGTACCACTGCTCCCCACATTCATTACAAATTACATAGGTCATCATTTGTTCATCTGGATTTGAATTCCGCACCCAGCTTGGAAGGAAAAGTGTTCCTCTGGCAATGACAGTGACCTTGCAATTATATTTCTCACAGCGTCTACATTTAATTTTATTGGTCTGTGTGCCATCAATCACTTGGGGAAGGTAATGTTCCTGGAGACAAGATTCTGTGTACGAAGCTCTCAACTGCTTCAGTTCCTTGTTGGCCATCTCCATGACAGTCATTTCAGCAAATTCTCTTACAGATATGGACCCAGAGAGCAAGTTTTGTTGTAAGTGAGAATTTCTGGGGTTCTTCAAATTGGCAACTTTGCTTCTGATACAAGTTTTATATTTTTTTATGTTCTTTGCATAAAGGGTAAAAATATGCTCTTCAATTTCTCTTGCAAAGTTTTGCCACAAATCAGTTCTTGACTGATCTGTGGAAGAACTAGTTAAAGCTGAATAAAGAAGCTCTGTGCATTTAGTTCTCATAGGTGTTGTGGGATCCTGCAACTCAATTGATCTCTTGCCAGTGGATGCAAGGTCACTACCCTCAGCATGCTCTTTCTTAGATTCCTTCTGAATAGTGCTATTTTCCAGCACAATCGTTTCACTAAGTTTTTCAACATCTTGGGATGAAAGCAGAGGATTAGAACTGCAGACATCCAGTTTTTCATCCTTATTTGGGTCGTGAGGAAGCCTTGAGTTTACTTCATTACCACTCGTAGTGAATAATTTAGGGCTGTCTCTTGATTTGAAGTGAGTGCTCTTATAAAGAGCTTTCCATTTTGACAGCAAACACTTGGCTTTCTTTTTCAAAGCCACCGAGGGGCAGTTTTTGAGGACTCTGTACACAGCTCTGACCATATTTGTCTCCTGGAGATGCTCCTTAGTCACATAAATTGTTTCTAGCTCAGTAAGGTGGTTGCCAAGATTCTCAAAATTCCTTTTAGACATCAGTTGCTCAATAAGGAAAGCTGTGGCAGCTATCTGGTTCTTGTCAGACATCTTTACAGCTGCAAATAAAAAAGAAATTTCAGTTTTCTTATGCCTGTCTTTGCTAGTCACAGCTCCTGGACAGTTAAATAGCACTTTCTGCCAGTTACCCAATGCAATGTTTTCTGAAGGAGTTATGTGACACAAATATGTGTGACACATTAGAAAATGGAATCTGCAAGGTAGTATAGTTAAGTGTCAAGAGCTTTATTCTTAATAGTAAAAAAAAAAAAAAAAATGCGGCATTTGCAAAGACCTCCTGTATAAAATCTGCTTAAAAGAAGCTTGCTGGAGGATCTGCTACAGCTTTTCTACCTTCAGTTTTACAAATCACTGATCCTTCTAGATCAAGATGAGTCTATTCATTTGGGTGGAATTTGGTGATTGTGTTGGGGATGAAATCATGTCAGTGTTAGCATCGATACGGGAATGCTGAGCAATGCTGCACTATCTCCCCCATATTCAGCTATATCACTCAACTGCTGGCTGATTTTACCATCTTGGAAGTGGTACTTTTCTGAATGTAATAGAGCAGAAAACAGGACAAAAACGGCTTGCTAATGGCTCCAGTGAACTAAAGAAATGGTGAGACAGCACAGGTTGGGAAGCAGCCAGAGCTAGGTTTTGTGTGTCCCAAAAGTCAACAGGCAGCACTACGCTGCCCTCTTAGTCTTCTAACAATCAGGGAAAGGTTCAGACTCAATGATCCAGACGATTTATGACTTTAGACTTACTGGTCCCTACAGAGTTTAGTTTCATTAATTTTTTAAAAAACTTTTTAAGTGTGAGAAGTTGTTTGATGATTATGCCTGTGTGAATCTCATCTTGGGCAGGCAAATGTTTACTTTATGTAACCAGTCTATTTTTTCCCTCACATAATATATATAACCTTGTCTACACAATACCCTTCAGTCTATATTTGTCTGGTCTAAACCTGACTATCTAACAAGTGCCATAAAACGTAATATCCTTAAAAGAAACTGGAAGGCCCCCAAACAAGAGAATGGCTTAAAAAAGATGACCTATTCCTAGAATGATACAATAATGTGATCACTTATAATCATGTTTTTAGAGAATATTTAATGACATGGAAAAACAGTCATAAAACAATGTTAGGTGAAAAAATCAGGATGCAAAACTATATACACAAAAGATTAAACAGTCATCATATGATCTAGCAAATCTACCCAAGAGAATTGAAAACACATGTTCATACAAAAACTTGTACACAAATGCTCATAGTAGTATTATTTATAATAGTCAATAAGTAGAAAATCTCCCCAAATCTATCAACTCATGAATAAATAAAATGTAGCCTATCCATTCAATAGAATATTATTCAGTCATAAAAAGGAATGAAGTACTGACACATGCTATAACATGGATAACCCTTGAAGACGTTATGCTAAGTGAAAGAAGCCAGACACAAAAGAGCACATGTTGTATGATTCCATTTATATGAAATGTCCAAAATAGGGAAATCTATAGAGACAAAAAAACAGACGAGTGGCTGAGTAGGAAGGGCTGGGGCAGAAGGGTGAAGGGAAATGGGGGGTGACTACTAACAGGTATAAGGTTTTTCTTGGGGGGTGGTGGCAAAAATCTTCTAAAGTCATCAATGGTGATGAGTTGTCCAACTCTGAATATACTAAAACCACTGAATTGTACACTTGAAATAGATGAAGGGTATGGAATGTAAATGACATCTAAATAAAGCTGTTGTTAAAATAATATAGAGTCTGATCCAAGCTTTATTTAACAATTACATGTGAAAAGAGATCCATAAATTTTTAAAAGTAGCATTTTCTGAAACAGGTGATATTAATGTGTTCTTTTACCCTTTTCTGTGGTAAGCATGTGTTATTTTCATAATCAGAAGTGAGTTACTGATATAGTATAATTTCATGATAAACTATATACATTTAAGATAGATGTCGCCTGGAAAATGGTATGGAAGATCACTCTCTAACTGCCTTCCTACATTACCTGTGGCTTTGCATTCATAATTTCCTCAGAAGTCGATTGCTAAATCTTAAACAGCTGCACCTGCGCTCGAACTCTACCCAAAATATGAATAGTCAAGTACCCTTGGCCATACTATGAGGTTCCCACTGTGTTTCCCTAATGGGATGCTCAAAGATAACCAAGATTACAAGTCTTGCATTTTTACCACCAGAGGGAGCTGAAATGTAGAAAACCCGGGGTGGGGGGTCGTTTTTAATTAATTAATTTTTTTTTTTGAGTTGGAGTCTCACTCTGTCACCCAGACTGGAGTGCAGTGGCCACTTCCGGCCACCACAGCCTCGCCTGCTGAGTGCCGGCGATCCTTCCGCCTCAGCCTTCCAAGTAGCTGGAACTACAGGCACACGCTACCACGCCCAGCTAATTTTTGATTTATTGTAGAGATGAGGTCTCGCCAAGTTGCCCAGGCGGGTCTCGAACCCGTGGGCTCAGGCAATCCACTCACCTTGGCCTCCCAAAGGCGCAGGATTACAGGCTGAGCCACCAAGCCCGGCTTCGTTTTTTTTTAAAGTCAGTGTAACACTCGGGGCTATCAATTCAGGATCTTAAGTAATTCAGGTTCTTAAGATAATTTTTCCTGGCTATTAAGAACCAATACTAAAACATAATTCTTCCTTTTTAAAATTCTGCTTTTAAAATCTGAAAACAGTAAGAGAGGTCTTCCTAAGAATCAAAAGCTAAATAAACAAAGTAAGATAGCACAGAAAATTTTTTTTAAAAAATCACACCCTTAACTACTAAACCTTTCTCTCAAACTTGTCTTCTTCAGATCCCAAGGAAGTCAAGCGGCTGTGTCTCAATGATAAGGTTTCAAGCTGCTCAATACACTTGAGCCCTCCTTGACTCTTGACTTGTTGAAAAGTTCCCTCCCCTCTCCTCCCCTCCCGTTCTTCTTTTCCTTCTTTTTGAGTCAGGGTTTCACTCTGTCACCCAGAATAGAGTGAGTGGCAAATTCCCAGTTCACTGCAGCCTTGACCTGCTGGGCTCAAGTGATCCCCTGCCTTAACTCCCACGTGCACCACCATGCCCAGCTAATTTTTTGATTTTTTGCAGAAACAAGGTCTCGCTATGCTGCCCAGGCCAGTCTTGGGCTCAAGTGATCCTCCCACCTCACCCTCCCAAAGTGTTGGGTCTGACTAGACAGTTTCTTAACAAAGAAGAAACATTCATTCTGCCTGCATTCTATACTGAAGAAAAGAAACTAGGACTGAGGTTTGCCAGATGCTCAGGAAGGTGTTAATAAGAGACAGGACTAGAGTGTACACAAGGAAGTTAAGAAATCTTTGACCAGCTGAATTTCTTAACTGAGGATCTAAGTTTCAAGGTGATTGTAAAGGGAATTGTAACTGTAGCTTCAGGGTTTCAGCAGCATTACAGCAGCCACTTGTCTTATCAGCAAAACTTTTTCTTGTGTAAATCTAGAAGTTAATGTGTTCATGTGTAAACATAAAAAAAGCACACTGCTCTTCATTTTACATGTTCTTTTATTTACCTCTCCATATTTATTTAAAATTTTTAATTGGCCTGGTGATCAGCCTGTAATCCCAGCACTTTGGAAGGCTGAGGCGAGAGGACTGTCTGAGCCCGAGTCTAGGGGCTAGAGATCAACCTGGGCAACTTGGTGAAACCTCGTCTCTACAACAAATCACAAAAACTAGCCAGGCGTGGTGGCGCGTCTATAGTTCCAGGTACTTGAAAGGCTGAGGCGGAAGGGTCCCCTGAGCTCAGCAGGTCAAGGCTGCAGTGGCCGTGAGTGTGCTACTGCACTCCAGCCTGGGCAGTAAAGAGTGAGACTCCAACTCAAAAAAAAAAAAAAATAATTAATGTATCTTCTTCACTATTTTGAAGTGTACAGCTGAAGTGTTAAGTACATTCACAGTGTTGTACATCTATACCCAGTTCTCTTGTCATCTACCCAAACTGAAACTATGCACCCAGCAAACAACACTCCCACTCCTCCTCCGCCAGCCCTCTAGCAACCACCATCCTACTTTCTGTCTCTACGGATCAGACTCCTCATATAAGTGGAATCATACAGTATTTGCTCTTTTGTGTTTGCCTTATTTCACTCAGCATAATGTCCTCAAGTTGTGGCATGTGACAGGATGTCCTTTTTAAAGTTGAATAATATTCCATTACCTGTACATGATCATATTTTGTTTATCCATTCATCTGTTTCACACTTTGTTTGCTTCCACCTATGGGTTGTTGTGACAATGCTGCTATGAACATGGGCATACAATTATCTGTTTGAGACCCTGCTCAAATTTTTTTCAGTATATACCCTGAGGTGAAGTTCCTGAATCATACGTTAATTCTTTCTCTCTCTCTCTTTTTTTTTGAGTTGAAGTCTCACTATGTCACCCAGGCTGGAGTGCAATGGCACGATCACAGCTACCACAGTCGCAACCTGCTGGGCTCAAGGGATCCTTTGGCCTCAGCCTTCCAGGTAGCTGGGAGGCACTACTACAGGCATGTATCATCACACCCAGCTAATTTTCACACCCAGTTAATTTTTGGATTTATTGTAGAGATAAGGTCTCACTATGTTGCCCAGGCTGGTCTCGAACTTCTGGGCTCAGGCAATCCTTCTGCCTAAGTCTCCCAAAGTGCTGGGATTATAGGTATGAGTCTCGCGCCTGGCACTTTTTTGTTTTTTTTAAGAGATGAGGTCTTGCTATGTTAGCCAGGCTGGTCTTCAACTCCTGACCTGAGGCAATCCTCCTGCCTCAGCCTCCCAAAGTGCTAGGGTTACAGGCGTGAGCCACTGCACCCAGAAGGTAATTCTGTTTTTAATTTTTTGAGGAGCCATCATACTGCTTTCAAATCTCCTTCATATTTTTGACAGTGCTTACATCCTGTCAAACCTTCTATTCCCCTATGTGACAATCATGTAGATACAAAAAGCATTTATTGTCCTAGAAGGGTATAATGTAGAAGCCACTGGGACACAAAATTTTGGTAACTGCCATAAAATGACAAAGTAAGCTGTGTGTCCAATTTAGAGTCCTACATAGCTCATTCCGCAAACATTTATATGTCTAGTATGTACTAGATGCTGAGCCTAAAGAGATAGTATCTGCCTTGAAAGAACTGAAAGCCCAGTGGGAGGAATACTGATAAGAAACTGGCCAATTACAATACATGTGGTGTTTCCACATGGATAGATACTGGTTGCTAGGGGAAACACACACAGGAGGGTACCAAACCCTGTCTGGGCTCCCCATCATCTGGCCAGTCAGCTACAATGGCTTCTTCACTGCCTTCACTCTGATCATGGCACTTTGTTAGAGGGATCATCCTCTAGTACAGATCTCACAACATATTCCCTCATTTTCCTTCTATAAGCCCTCTGAGGTTCCCCTCTGCTCTCAGGTGGAGCCCAAGCTCCTTGGCCAGATGATGAAAAGTGCCCTCCTATGCCTTCCCCTTGAGTACTCTCCACCACTGATGGGCACAGTTCTGTGCCTTTGCTCTGTGCCACAGCTCCCCGAGTCTGGCAGATCTCTCACCATTGGTGGTTCTCAACCCTGGTTGCATATTAGAATCATCTGGGGAAATTAAACAACAACAAAACAAAACAATGCCAGGGCCTCACTCCAGACAGAATGAATTAGAAGTTCTGAGGGTAGGGCTGGGTGCTGGTTCAACTTTCCAGGTGATTCTGATTCAAACCACACACAGGCACACAACCCTCCCCTCACCCCAAGCAGGACCTCCCAGTAAGGCTACCATCAGCTACAAAGACAGCTCTAGTCCTGCTCCTGGAATGAATACACAGAATCTCTTTGACTTTGGATTTTTCTAGATGAGTCCCACTACATTAGAAAACATTAAAAACACCCTCTGTGTGCAATGCACTCAAGAACCTCTACAAATTACAACTGGTGACAATAATGTTTTAAGTGTCATGATGCACACAATTCCTGATACTCAGTCCCTCACTTACCTCTTCACAGCGGAGTCAACTGCCACACACACTCCTGTCATCTCAGTTCTCACAATAACCTTGAAATACAGACACAGCTTATCTCCATTTTACAGACAAAGAAACCTGTTAAAAACATCAAATAATTTGTACATTGCATTTTTTTCACAATGTGAAAACATTTTTATCATCTGCCTTGCCTGTGAAACCATAAGGGAAGACCCACATGTGTTGCATTCACCTAGGTACACTTGGCAAACACCTGGCTGGTGCTTACTATTATTTAACAAAAATTATTTTTGTTAAATGAGTGAAAAGCATCCAGGTTGCTCTCTCTCCTCTCTGCCTGTGAGATTCATTTCTTTCCACTACAGACCAGCTTGCTTATACTCACTGCACCTAAGCCCAGTGTTCCTTGGCCTCTTCCCTGGGAGACCAAGCCCATCTCAATTCTAGTTCAAAAAAAGCACTCAAAACATCCTAGTTAAAAAAAAAATTCATGGTGCACACTGTGGGCTATTGAAGTGGGTCTGAGAAGTTAAGCCATTTGGATAGGGAGGGTCAAGAAGGCACAGAAGTGAGGGGCATTACAAGCTGGGTGTTTTGACCACTCTGTCTCAATTTCCTCATCTACAAAATGGGGGAAATCCACAACCTATGATTAATATGAGAATTAAGTGAGATAGTTTTTATAAAGTGCTTAGAACTATGCCTGTCACAGAGTAAACCTGACCAACAATTATGTGGGTCTACAACTAAAAGGTTTAAAAACATCTACCAAACCAGGCATGGGTCCAGAACAGGAAGTCAGTAAACATTTTCTGTAAAAGGACAGACAGTACATACTAGAGGTTTTGCAGGCTGTACAATTTCAGTAGGGACTATCTAACTCTGCTGCTTCTGTAGCAGGAACAGCCAACACAGAAAATACATAAGTGAATGGGCATCACTTTGTTCCAATAACACTTGTTTCCAAAAATAAGCAGACTAGATTTGGCCACAGGCCAGTTTGTTGACCCCTTTCTAGAACAGTGCTGTGCAACAGAAATATAATGCAAGCCACAAAAATAATTTAAAATTTTCTAGTAGCCACGTTAAAAAATAAATAGAGGCCTGATGCAGTGGCTCACACCTGTAATCACAGCACTCTGGGAGACCAGGGCGGGAAGATTGCTTAAGCTCAGGAGTTCAAGACCAGACAGAGCAACATAGAGAAACCTAGTCTCTACAGACAATAAAAAAAATTAGCCAGATGTGGTGGCGTGCCTGTAGTTCCAGATACTCGGGATGCTGAAGTGGAAGGATCGCCTGGGCCTACCAGTTCCAGGCTACCATGAGCTGTGATAGTCCTGATCAGGCTACTGCACTCCAGCCTGAGCAAAAGGGTGAGATCCCGGTTCAAAAAAAATAAATAAGTAAAAAATAAAATAGATGGAATTAATACTTTTAATCTAGTGTATCCAGAATATTGTTGTTACAACATTTAAATGATATAAACAGATTGAGATATTTTACATTATTTTCTATACTAATTCTCCAAAATTCACTGTCTTACACCACGTCTCAATTTGGACTAGCCACATTTTAGGAGCTAAAGTCTTATGTAACTAGAAGTTACCATATTGGACAGCACAGTTCTAGAACATATGCTAATGTAGATAATACTTAAATACACACATATCAAAAAGTTTATACAGTGCCAGCAAGAGTAGACACTAAATATTTGACTGGGTACATATAAAAGTGTATACATAATAATTAATATACAGCACAGGGAAGGTGACCACAACTGCACAAAATTGTCTAAATATTGAGAAGGATGAGGGGAAAGATCAGTGAGAATTTTCAGAAGCTGGTAACACATCAGTAGTAATCTATATCTGTTTAGATCTTTAGATCTCTTTAAAATCTAAAGAGAACTTTTAACGTTCTAGCCCTAACACACACACACAGCTCTCCAGCTTCACGGGAGTCCCTTCCTCCATGGAGAGAAATGATGCTAAATGTTGGCAGGGGTGTCGCAGTTTCGAAACAGACATTCAGCACTGTGCCGGAGCCCTTTCCGGTGGGTGGGGATGTGCAACAAGTACAACCTGCTACTAACCGTCCCTGGGAGACAGCCCAGCACCCAGCACACAAGCAGCGGCGGTCCTAAGGGCCCACCCTGGCGACCTCGGCTGGGTGAGAGGAGGGAGTGGGGGTGAGGGCACTTTAAGGCTACCCAGCCCAGGGCGCACGGGAGAGCTTCCGCTCTAGTAAGCTTTCCCTGGAAAGAAGAGCTCGCCCTTCTACCGGGCACAGGCCTAGCGAACCCGAAGCGTGACTTACCGATAAGCGCAGGCGCAGTCTCGGAATTCTCAACGACCCACGCGTCCACAGAGAACTTCTGATCCCTGGGCGGGATCACCAAAGCTCCACCAATCCAAGACCACGGACAAGAGCACAAGGTCCTGGGACCCAGTGCACGCGTGCTAGGGAAACAGCGCTTGCGCGCTAAGAAAATGGCGTCTGCGCGCTAGGGAAGCGGCGCCTGCGCGCTAGGGAAGCGGCGCCTGCGCGCTAGGGAAGCGGCGCCTGCGCGCTAGGGAAGCGGCGCCTGCGCGCTAGGGAAGCGGCGCCTGCGCAGAGGGATCGGCGGCTGCCGTGGGCCTGCCCCTCCCCGAAGCCCCCTGGAGGAGGAGCTATGGCCCCGTTCCGGGACTGAATTGAAAAAGAAACCGCACTAACGTGTTTTAGCAGCGAGCGAAATTTGTTGAGCTATTTCACAGCTTATCATTTTTGCTTCTAATCAAGACAGTCACGACAGTTCCAAACTAGATGTTGTTAAAACTCTGGACATAATGTGAACCATCTATTTAACACAGTAATTAAGTAAGTATTTATTGCACCCTAGCACGCATCCATTGATACGAAAGTAGTAAATGTTCATTAAGTGGTCATGTGCATCCAGGATTTTTCCCCTATATGCATTGTTTGGCTGCAAGGATCTAGTAAAGCCACAGTGGTGGCTGAACTAGAGAATGTGTCAACCTCTTTTGCTGATCCCCTACTCTAAGGGGGAAAGGTTCATAGATGCAGAGTATCCAATCCAATACTTTGGATACTATAAGGAAGCGGGGCGATTCTGTGATTAAGGGTGGAGGTTCAGTGGATGGAAAATTACAAAGAGGTAAATCAGGGGTAAGGGGATTCTGACTAAACCGGCCTAACAGAATTCTTGCTGAAGATAGGTCAAGGGTGATCAGACATCACTTAGGGATTAGTGGAGGATGAGGAACCCAGTCAGATGTTGAGAAAGATCAGATATTGAGGGTGGGTGATTCTTACTAAACTGACTTAGCAGGACTCTTTGCTAAAACTGGATTTTACAAAGAAGTGTGCAGATGGGCCTAGGAGAAGGTTCAAGAGCCTGACTAAAGTTTGGTCAAGCAAAGAATCTTTGTTAATCTTTACTTTTGCCTGTTAAAAGAAAAACTTTAGTAGGGCACAGTGGCTCATGCCTGTAATCCCAGCACTTTGGGAGGCTGAGGCAAAAGGATTGCCTGAGCCCAGGGCTTCAAGATCAGCCTGGGCAACTTGGTAAGACCTCCTCTCTACAATAAATTAAAAAAGAATTAGCTGGGCATGGTGGCAAGTACCTGTAGTTCCAGCTACTAGGAAGGCTGAGGCAGAAGTATTGCCTGAGCCCATCAGGTTAAGTCTGTGGTAGCTGTTATACCACTGCTCTCCAGTCTGGGTGACAGAGTGAGAATCTGATTCAAAAAAAAAGGAAAAGAAAAAAGAAATAAAATAAAAACTTTAGGCAACTTAAATTTAGCAGAGTTTATTTAGGCAAATAATGATTCATCAATTGGGCAGCACTCAGAACCAGAACAAGTTAAGAGACCTCCATGGAGAGTCAGTATTTATAGACAGAGAATGGAAGTATAATACAGAAATAGATTGATCAGTTGCAACTAGGACTTTGCCTCATTTGTACATGGTCTGATCGTTTGACAGCCTGTAATTGGTGGAAGCTTGGCTGTTTGTGATTGACTGAGATTTGGTCGTTAATTATACCCTTAGATTAGGTTTTCAGTTTATGTACTAAATTAGGCTGCAGTTCAAGGTACAGAGACAGCCTCAGGCCAATGACCTCCTGCTTAAATTTAACATTAATTAATAGTATTTCTCTTCTCCCTTTGTAACTTTTTTCGATCCTTTTCAGAGTACTCTTGCCCCTCTTTGGAAGCACTCATTTAAAAATATGAGGCACTACAGGCCTCCAGAACAACAATCTCCAGGTTTTAAATGGTGATCTAGGAAGAATACTTCCTTTGTGATCAAATTTGTAACCCTAAATTCTGAAAATATTCACAATTTGTCAAAACAATTGCACTTAAACTATGAAACATTCAACCTGAAGGAATTAGTTTAGAAACTAAAAGTTACCTTAAAACCCTTGTCAGTAGAGCCTTGAGGGGTATTATAACTATTTTTCATGAGCTCTGTACTGAAATAAAAAATAGAAATTAGTCAAAAGTCTAAAAACAAAACAATCATTATTTCTCTGGTTTGAATTTTTAAAAAAATAAATAAGTCATTATTTCAACAAAGAGACAAGCTATAATTACTGTACAGTCCAGCATTGTCCACTACAGTAGTCACATATGGATGCTTAGATAAAATTTAAAATTAAGTTCCTTAGTTGCACTAGCCAAACATCAAGTTCTCAATAGCCACATGTGGCTAGTGGGTATCATGTTAGGTAGCACAGATACAGAACATGTCCATGGCTGCAGAAAGTTCTGTTGGACAGCACTGGCTGAGTTCATCTGGAATGAATCTACAACAGGACTGCCAATGGATTCTAAAAAGTTTGCTGCACAGTTCTTTTGGACAAAGTTTAAGTAGAATATCTATAATAGTACTCATTTATGTGATAATTTATCATGCACTGTTTTCAGGCCTTTGTTTTAATATTATCTTTCAGCTGCTTCAATACTCTGGAATTCTCTTTGATAAATGTCTCTTAGTGCAGCGGAAACCCTTTTTCAATCTGCTTTAAGTCTCTGAGTGACAATATAGTTATTCTGAGGTTACTCATACAGCTCTTTCCTGAAAATTCCCAAGGAACAGAGGCAAAATTCTTTATGGATCCTCTCCAGAAGCTAATGTTACACATTACTAAGGGAATAGTCACAGATATTTTCCATTGAATGAGGTCAGAGAAACCACATCTTTCTGGGTTCATTTCCTGATAAAACTCTAGGACAGACCCAGGGCTTAACAGGAATGTCCTTATAAGCCATAGAACATAATGCATGGGTTGAAAACTTCTAACTGTTCCCCTGGAGTTACAGAATGTCAGGAAATAGAACAAAAAGGCATTGTAGAAACAGAAACCTTATGTTTAATTTCTGTAACATATACCTCAGACTTATGCAGGTGAAATGACATAGTATCTCCAGTGAAAACCCTCAGAGGCTCACAGAAGAGCTAGTCCCTGCATGGATCAGACAGTGTCTGGCTAGTAGGCCACAAACTGCTTAAACCAGTGATTCTTCACCAGGGTGGGGGAAGTGTATCAGAAGTATCTGGGGGAACTTTTGTCAAACACATTAGCCAGACTTTCTCCAGGCTGAGCAGGATGGGAGTAGGGTGGAGAGGGAGACCACACTTCTGGTTTAAAAACATCCCCCCCCCCATAGCCTAAACATTATTCACTTTGAAAAGCCGCATGAAATTTTATTCATTGGTATAGCCTTTAAAATTTAATTGCCATAAATAGATACTTGAGTTTTGCTGTTATTTCTTCTTTTATATTGAGGAATGACCTACATACTTAAAATTACAGCTTTATAAAATTATACATACAACTCCACAATCCCCCTTCTGGGACTATACCTAGAGGACCTCAAATCACTCTATGAAAAAGATACCTGCACACACATGTTTATTGCAGCATTATTCCCAATAGCAAAAGCATGGAACCAACCATGCTGCCCATCGAAAGAGGACTGGATAAAAAAATGTAGTACGTATATACAATGGGATATTATGTAGCCATAAAGAAGGGCAAAATTATGAACTTCGCAGCAACTTGGATGGATTTAGAGGCTATACTACTGAGTGATCTATCACAGAAATAAAGAACTGAGTATCACATGTTCTCACTCATAAGTGGACCTTGAACAACTATCATAATACTATAAGAAAGGGATTGGCAGCAGTGGGAAACTGCTAGGGGAAGGGGAGGCACACCTCATCAACAAGGGTACCTGCATAATGAACATTTGTATACCTAACTCTGAATTGTACCTCATATATTGAAATTTTAAAATTAAAAAATTATAATATATACCCAGCTAATCATCACCTAGATCAAGATATACAATATCCCTTAGAGGATTCTCTTCTGCCCCTCCCACCGCCATGGGCAAACTCTGTCCGACCTCCATCACCCTAGTTTAGTTTTATGTGTTTGAACTTCATTAAAATGGACTCGTTTTGTATGTACCCATTTGCATGTAGCTTCTTTCACTCAATATTTTGTCTATGGAATTCACCCATGTTGTGGTTTTTCATTCTGTGCAATAATAGATAGTATGCATCTACCACAATTTATAAAGTTTACTATTGATGGGTATTTGAGTTGTTTTCAGCTTAAGACTACTACAAATAATACTATAAGAAAATGACTGACGGTACTGGGAAACTATGGGGAGGGAGGGGGATGGGATTAACAGGAGCAAACATCTGTCTGGGGATGGGAAAACATCTCTTATCAACAGGGTGCCTGAATGAAACGTAATTGTACACCTAACCCTTAACTGTACCCCACAAAACCATAATAAAAAATATTGATTAATTAAAAAAAGACTACTACAAATAAAGCTGTTATGAGCATTTTTATCTATGTCTTCTAGTGAGCATAAGTCCTTCTTTCTCTTGAGTATATACCCAGAAGTAGAATTGCTGCACCATAGGGTAGGTATATGTTAGTTTTAGTTGACATTGCCAAATAACTTTCCATTAGACACTTTCCTCAGCAATGTATGAGAGTTCTATGTCAATGGTTCACAATATTTGCTACATATTAGAATCACCTGGTGAACTTTTAAAACACCCAGTGGTCAAACTATACTTCAGGTCAATTAAATCAGAGTATCTTGGTTTGGGATATCAGTATATTGCTTCCCTGTCTATCTGTTTCTTAACAAGCTTTACCTAAACTGCCTTGTTGTTAGTGGTGTGTGTAGCCCTCTCTCATTGTGTCACAATAAAATTTACAGTTAGAAACCAAGACAAATTAAGTAGCCAGTATTTAATCCTAGACGATCTCATTCCACAATAACACTATACACTGTACAGCAGTTGTTGTTTGATGAGTTACTTAATTTTTTCTCATATGGCTTCTGCATTTCCCCAGAATTGAGCAATAAATATTTAACTAATCCGATTTCATATATGTATAAAACTAAGTGTATATGTATGGAGAGGGAGAGGAAGAGGGAGGGGGAGAGAGAGAGAGAGAGAGAGAGAGAGAGAGAGAGAGAGAGAGAGAGAGAGAGACTGTTTCATTCTGTCACCTAGGGTGGAATGCAGTGACATGATCATAGCTCACTTTTATCTCCAATTCCTGGTCTCAGATGATCCTTCTGCCTCAGCCTTTTGTTCTTTTGTTTTGTAGAGATGGGGTCTCAGTATGTTGCCTAGGCTGGTACTTTTTATCTAATACAAGCAGAAAACAGTTTCTAGCTTTTTACTTATTAATTGGTCATATAGATTTAAAAAATCTGACTTGAAGTTTTATCCATTGCATTTCCCTGCGTTTTCCATTTTACTTTTGCCATTGTTGCATTTCCCTGATGAGTAATGATGTTAAGCAT